GGGTGCAGCCTACTGGGTGGGCGTGGATGGAGTGGGTGTGGCCTACTGGGTGGGCATGGCCAGCTCTACATCGTTCGCGTCAAGGGTGCCTGTGGGGGCCTGGGCAGGAGTGGGACAGATCTGAGGGTCTCTGGCAGAAGGGGGTGGGACCGGGGCAAGCACCAAGAAAGAAAGAAAGCCAGTTTGGTGTATTGGTTAAAGCATCAAACCAGAAACCAGGAGATTGTGAGTTCTAGTCCAGCCTTAGGTCCAAAACCGCTGGGTGACCTTGGGCCAGTCAGTTTCTCTCAGCCTTGGGAAGGAGACAATAAAGACAAAGAAACTTCTGAAAAACCTTGCCAAGAAAACTTGTCCCAGGCAGTCTCTGAGAACTAGACATGATTGAACAGAAAAAAAAAAAATCTAAAAAAAAGTTATGATCACTTACTTTTGCCGAACAATGGGTACACAGCAAATGAAGACTGAAAGTCCAATAATAATGAAAATAGCTACAATTGGAACCCGGTCAGAAACATCTTTAAACCCATCTGCTACGTTAAGACAAAAGCACAGGTATTAAAAAAAATACAACTTCTATTAACCAGAATTTAAAAATCTGATTTCTTTTTTAAGACAATTATTTAATTTATTTAGTCTCTTACTACTGTTTTGGATGAGATCCATGACGCATTACTCTGTAAGACACATATGTTATTACAGGTAGTTTCAACTTACAACTGGCTGCTTAACGACCGTTCAAAATCGCAACGGGCTGAGAATGGATGATTTATAGCCCATAAAGCACTTTGGTCATCCTAAAATGTGACAGCACATCATCACCCCCACAGTCACATGACCACATTTTGGGCGCTTGGTAACTGGCTCGCCTTTATGACCAATTGCCTGACCAGTTGTTTTTTGGTGGTTTCTGGTAAAAAAACACTACCCATTTGAAAGAACATGTTCACATTTATGACTGTGACATTCATTTAATGACTGCTGCAAAAAAATGTCATAAAACCAGGTCTGGTCACACGGGTGCCTCAGCTTATGACCATAACAACTTACAACTCGAAATCTGGTCCCAATTGTGGTTGTAAGACGAGGGCTACTTGTTCATTGAAGCAACCACCCTGGAACTTTCCTATATATTGATCCCAACCTTTCAGTTGGAAAAGATAATTTAATAACATTTGCAGCTTATTATCTAAAAATCAAACTATTTCAGCTAACATTTTGACAGAGGACAATGTGCCTGCCATGGTTTGTTTGGAAAAAAAACTAAAACCTCAGCCATTATTCATAATGATGAGATAGTATAATTACTTTTTATGTAGATCAGCTCTTCGTTCCCTTTCGGGCTTTCTCCAGCATTTGTAGAAGCCGTCATCCAAATAACATAGGAAGCACCAGCCTCTATGTTTTTTATACGAAAGGGCTGTGGGGCTGGTTTAGAAATCTCTGGAAAAATAAAAAGATGAAAGAACAATTGTTTCATAACATAAGCTATTATCAGATCAAGGTGCATATCTTTGCCTTTGTGATTTAAGGCAGTGTCCATTTCTTTGGACAGAGGAATACCTGTAATTCCTGACTGAAAGCTATTGATAGAAGAGAATATTTATAAATCAGGGTTGAAATGGTGCCTTCTGAGCATGGTAGTCTTCCTGCAAACATTTCATTACCTAACTAGGTAACATCCTCAGTGCTAGAAGGCAGGGCTTTTCAACCTTTTCACCCATTGTACCACTTTTAGGATATGGCAACATCCGAGTACCACCACTCGCCTAGCAAGGGGTCAAAAACTTGACCCCCCCCAAAAAGGAAAAAAGTGATAAAGTACAGGTAGTCCTCGATTTACAACAGTTCGCTTAGTGACTGTTCGAAGTTACAATGGCACTGAAAAAAAGTGCCCCCCAAGGCACAGCCGAGCAAGACACCTGCCTGCCACCCGGTGGCGCTCTTCCTCCTGTCTGAGGTTTTCATTGTGAGCATTTCTGTTGGGAATTGGCAGCGGGGGTAGGATGGGGTGTTTGGTTTTTATTCCCCCCGTCTGCTGGGTGGTTGCAGCAGGTTTTGGTCACTTCACATGACCCTGGGACACTGTGTCCGTCATAAATATGAATCAGTTGCCAAGCATCTGAATGTAAATCACAAGACCCTGGAGAGGCTGCAACATTCCAGCTGATTGGCGCTTCTGGGCTCAGCGGAAGCTCCAGGATCAGCGCTGAGCTCCAGGTGGAGCCTGGCGCTGATCCTGGCGCTTCCACTGAGCCCTGACAGCCCTGCAGCTCCAGCCGTCTCTCACTCAGGCTTGTGCGGTGCTGCCACTGGTTCAGCTCATTCCCCTCCCCTGCTACCACTTTTCTAGGATGGTCGCGTACCACCTGCCATGTGCCAATGTACCACAGGTGGTACCCGTACCACTGGTTGAAAAGCCCTGCTAGAAGGAACTGGAGTTTGCTGTTTTTTCAGGGACTTGCCCTGTCAGTATTGGGAGGATCGATCTTGGTTGTTCCTTGATTTGGCTATTGTTTACTGTTAGCTTATTTATCTGATTTGCTAGTTCCTTGACTGAAAGTTGCCCACCACCACTTTTTTAAATATCCTATGCATTTTGTTAAGGTTATTCATTTTTATAAGGTACCTACCATGGACATCTGGCGGTACAGAAAAGAATTGTTTCTGCAAATAAATCTTGTAACTAGTGATACATCCCATCCGCTGATGTTCTGGAACTTCTCTCCAGGAGACCAAAATGCTCCCATTTTTCACAGCTACATTCACAATCTGAGGTCCTGTTAATGGGGCTACAAAGGAAATCTTTGTGAAAAGGTTGATTATCTTAGATCAGAGTTCCCCAGCATTTCTGGCTTTGTGGACTGGGGAGGGGGAAGGGGATGGTTCCATGTGAGCGGCCAGCAAATGCATGCGTGTGTGCATAGCTCCATTTGCATGAGCAGTGTGCACGTGTCCCTGCCGCTCCCTTAAATGGAATGTGTGAGGATGCGCGTGTGACTTGCCAGCCGTTCCCATGGCCCGGTTTCAAACCCCTCACGGCCCACTAGAGGGCCACAGCCCCCAGATTGGGGACCCCTGTCTTAGATGATCTCAGACCTTAAGCCAAATCGCCAGTTACGGTTACCTTTTGATGAGATATTTTCTGTGGTCACAGCTGCTTTTCCTGCTCGGGCCTGATAGAGCGCAAACACACTGATGTGGTAGCATATGTTGGGCTTTAAATTCTCTAGAAATTAGAAAGCGCTGCAGTCAATTCAAAATGTGGTTGTAAGTCGAGAACTACCGATATAGAATTTTATTTAAGCTTATAGTCCTGAGTACTGGTTGGGGAAGGTTGGCTTGGCTCATCAAACTGAGCTGACTGCAGCGCTTCACGATTGTAGGAGGAGAGTGGTTTTATTTTTTCAACATGATGTTTGTAAATCATCAGTTTGTTGGTGTAGACCAGGGGTAGGCAACCTTGGCTCTTTTATGACTCGTGGACTTCAACTCCCAGAATTCCTGAGCCAGCATGGCTGGCTCAGGAATTCTGGGAGTTGAAGTCCACGAGTCATAAAAGAGCCAAGGTTGCCTACCCCTGGTGTAGACACAGAGTCATCTTTCTAGATTTAAACAACCATATCTAATGGCGCTGCTGGAAGCTAACAGATTCTCCCCCCCCTTAATTCATTTCCCCCCCTTCAACCTTGGTGGCTTTAAGCTTTGTGGACTTCAATTCCCATAATTTCTCACTCATTGCTTCTTGGTCCTCTATCCTAAAGGCCACATGTTTCAGGTACGTCTTCTGGCTCTCAGATACATTTAAGAAAGATCAGGACTTTGAGGGATTAAAAGTGCACGCAAATTTGTTTCTACTGGGTTGATTGTCAATAAGAAAATATTGTCTTGTTCCTTAACAAAATTAAGAAGAAGTTTTTCTGAAGTTTGCAGGACAAAAGTATAGAATAAAATCAGATGCAACAAACATTCTTGTAAAATTATCAGTCTGTTGATGAAAAACCTTGGGAAAAGACTTTAGGGCAGAGAACTACCTATATCAGTGATGGCGAACCTTTTAGAGACCGAGTGCCCAAAAACTGGCTCCGCCCCTGCCCCACCCCCTGCCCCGCCCCCACTCCATCCCACCCTGCCTGCCCGCAGGGCCACTCACCGCCTCCAGGGCTCGCCACAGATTGCCCAGGGAATCCAGCAGCGCCATGGCAGCCACGCCCTCTGCCCGCGCCCCGCACCATCAACTGTGCGTGTTGGGGCGTGAGAGCAGAGTCTTTTCTACGCTGCCTGGCTGCCATGTCCTTGGCTGCGCTCCGCCGCATGGGCCACACTCGGGGGCGACTCTCCTCCAGGGGGGTTGCTGGTGAGGAGGGAGTCACGGGCGGAGGCAAGGCTGGGGCAACGGCACGTGTGCCCACAGAGAGGGCTCTGAGTGCCGCCTCTGGCACCCATGCCATAGGTTCGCCACCACTGACCTATATATTTAATGAAATATCAATTTTAGTATATATTTCTGGATATTTTTAGGGTCTTACTCCATAACAGTGGTAGTATTGGAGAAAAAAATATTTAAAAATAGCAATCACATAAGCAGTAAGTTATCTGGGAAAACCAGAAGAAAGGGTGAGACAAGCCAACCTTCCCCAACCAGTGCTCAGGACTATAAGCTTAAATAAAATTCAATTTAGGTAAGCCTCGACTTACGACTACAGTTGAGCCCCAAATCCCCATTGCTATGCAAGATAGTTGTTAAGTGAGTTTTGACCAACTGTACAGCCTTTCTTGCCAGAATTGTTAAGTGAATCACTGCAATTGTTAAGTCATTTATACTGTTGTTAAGTGAATCTGGCTTCTCCTTTGACTGCTTGTCAGAAGGTCACAAAAGGTGATCACATGACCCCAGGGACACTGCAATGATCATGAGCACATGCCAGCTGCCAAACGCCCAAATTTTGATCACCTGATCACGGGGATGCTGCAACGTGTCATTAAGTATGAAAAACAGTCATAAGTCACTTTTTTCAGTGTTGTTGTTGTAACTTCAGTAAACAGTGAACAGTCACTAAACAAATGATTGTAAATTGAGGATTACCTGTCATCCATTCCCGCATATTGTCTATTACAGAGGTCCTCAACCTTTTGGGCACCAGGGACCAGTTCTGTGGAAAGAGGTTTTTGCGCAGGCTGGAAAGTGTGTGGTTTTGTGTGCTGCCTGCATCCCACAGATGGGGCTTTGCTTGTTTGTGCAGACTGGTTGGTGGCATGCTGAGGCCTGGTACCGGTCCATGGACTGGGGGTTGGGAACCCCTGGTCTATTACACTGAGTTGGGGAAGGTTGCACTGACTTGCTGTGGCAATGCTGAACTGTGACTTAACATGTTAATTTTAAAAACAAACACTTGTTTGTAATTGCTTGTCTAACCTTTCTCATTAGCAATGTGTTTTCCCTGTGACACGAGCTTACCTTTTATTACTGTGCTATTAGAAACAGGAATTTTAAACCATGTTGGGGAGCTGTTCCTGGGATAGTCTTGAGGGACCTCTACCCATTCAACTACATATCCATTGATGAAAGAGGATGGTGCTGAAGGTGCTTTCCATTTAACAACGATTCTCTCGTCCACGAATGTGGCAGAGACCTGGTTAGGTGGTAGCAGTTCTTTGAAGGATAAGGATAAGGATGAGGA